TTTGGCCATATCCCAGTAATTCTACTCCTATATCTTACCAAACAGAAACTTAAGGACATATACACCAAGGAACATAACAAGATTATTATACAGAAAATTATTCACAATGACTCAAAACCAAAAGCAACATGAATGTCTATCAGTAGTAAAATGGATCAATAAATTGTGATATTGTCATGTAATAGAATATTACACAACATAGAAAAGGGAAATCTACTGTATGATGTAGTTGGATCTCACAAACATTGTTGAGTCAAAGAAGCTAGACACCAAAATAGTATTTAATAAATAATTTCTTTAACATAAATAATTTGTGATGTTGTAAGTCAGGATAATGGTTACTCTCTGGGGGTCTTACAAAATGAAAATGAATATAAAGAGGATTTCTATAGTATTGTTCAAGATTTCTAAATGTATGTTGATTTCAATAAAATTGATTAATTAAAACAAAACAAAAAATAGGCACCTATGTGAGTTACTTAGCATAATCTGGGAGTAGTTAGGGGGTACCTGTGAGAGGGCAGGAAAACCCTGAAGTAATGACAGGAGACTAGGAACCCAGAGGAAAGGCAGCCAACGATAAGCTCACAGTAGATGAATTTCCTGTGTGTTTTAAAAAAGAGAATGTCTAATATTCATTTCTAAGTTGTTTGCTGTGCTGTGATTTTCCCTAACCGCTCTGTGATCCCATCCACAACCCAAATTTATTGGTCTCAAACCATCAGTAAAATTTACAACACCCTTAAAACAAAAACAGCAAACCAGGGTAAGGGAACTGTGATAGAATTGGATGAAAGAGAAGCTACGTCATTAGAGGACAGGAATCCCAGAGGAATGCCTCTCTGAAGAAGTGACACTTGAATAGAGAGTGAAGAAGTGAGGGGGAAGAGGGTTGCAGACTGTGAGATGAGGCAAGGGAAGGACTCCAGGGCAGGATGCACTGGGCACGTTCAGAAATCAGCAGGAAACCTCTGTGTGCAGCCAGGAAGATTTGGAAGAGGAGATCGGAGAACAGTGGGGGCCACCTGCTGCTGGCCTTAATGGGCGATGGATCTTATGGGATCTTACTCTGAGTGAGATGGAAGCCATAAGGACATAATAGGGTTTAAAGATCTAATGCAAGCTAGGTTTGAAATGTATTATTCCCAATTGCTTTGGGAAGAATAGCCTGTAGGGCGGCAAAGGGAGAGCAGCTGGGAGGTTTGCTAAGACAGAGACAGTGCTGGCTTGGATGGGCCTGCCATGGTGGAGGTGGGAGACAGGCTGGCTCTGGATGTGTTTTGAAAATGAAGCCAGAAGACTGCAGATGGGTCCGATGTGACGGGGCTGGGGAGTGGCAAAGGGATGCCTGAGGAAAGAACTTTCTAACCCAAAAAGCTGTCTGCACTGAAGAAGCTTCCCTCGATACAGTTAACTCCAGTGCCAGCCATGAGTCCTGCCACAGGGCTGTCTGAAGAGCCTTCTTTCTCTATTTTATCTGCCAACTAAGCTCCCAGGAGGCTTTCTGTTCTCAGCAGGTCTGTGTTTCTAGGGAAAAAAAAAAGTCAGAAAAACAATGACTATTTTTTTCTCTGTTCTCACATCACACTCAACACAGAAAATTTCTCTGACTGCCCCGCCCCCCCCAAAGGGTCTTCTCCCCACCAGCGAGCAAGCAATTCTGCAGCAGGCAGCAGCTGGTTGTCCTCTAACTCAATTAAATTCTGGCACTACCTACTTTGAGATAGCAGCAGGCCCCACAGATGGAGGGGCCAGCCCCCAAGAATGCTCATCCAACTCCCCTTCCTTCCCTCCCTCTCTTTCTGATGGGGTCTTGCTAAGTTCCTGAGACTGGCCTCAAACTTGTGATCCTCCTGCCTCAGCCTCCCAGTAGCCAGGATTATCAGTATGCTCCAACATGCCCAGAGCCTCCCCACCCGACTTTACATGCCAACTGCACACCCCTGGTTGTTTTACTTGTGCTTCTGATTGACTGACTATAAATCAGGGTACCCACAACCCCCTCCTCGGGTTCATAGAACTCAGGAAACAATTACATTTGCCAGTTTACTATAAAGGAAATAGCAAAGACTTCTGAAAAAGAGAGGCATAGGGTGAGGGATGGGGAAAGGGCTGCAGAGCTTCCATGCCTCCCTCTAGGAACTTCCACATCTTCATCTCTCTGGAAGCCTTCTAAACCCAATACTTTGGAGGTACTTATGGACTTCCTTGCACAGGAGTGATTGCTAATAGAATGGGCAGGGAAACCCAGCGAGGCCTGTCTGCTTAGATTTTTCAGTGGTGCTTCCTAGAGGGGATGGGGCAGGACCCTATGAAATGGGGAAGTTAGAGAATTTTTTTGTGGTTAGCTAAAGGCAGGGGAAGATTAGGATTTTATAACTCATCTTGGGGAAGGAGTTATGAGCCAGGAACTGAGGGGTGAAGTCAATACATAGGTATGTTTGTGTATGTGTATATCTCGATCTTCTTGTACTCGGTTGAATTGTACAGTTGTCATATAGATGCTGTTGTCGTTCAAAGACTGCTTGGAACTCACCTTCAAGAATTGTCCTCAAAGTGATAAATGTAATTTACTCCAAAATCTGTCTTTCCAGAAGTCAGGCTATTGGGAAGCTCTGCTGTCAAGAATTAGATTCTCCTGGTTGGCAGGAACTTTAAAGCTTCTAGCCTATCACACTGGAGTTCCCATGGCATTATTTCTGAGCAGCAAGCATTCTAACCTCTGCTTCAAGCCCTGGAGTGAAGGGAATGTGATTAACCCCCACTACACACACACACACACACACACACACACACACACTGTGGACCTTCACCATCTTCCACATAGCTCTGATGGTTAGAAATTTGTCCTTCGTTTTGGACTGAAACTTCCTCACCATACCTGGTCATATGGGAATGTAAGGCAGAATTTTCCACATTTCAAATATCACTGGTCCTATTAGTTCCTTTATATCTTCCCTTTAAACTACCCATTTCCCCCTACTAAGTACATATACATTAAATGGAAGCTCCATTGCCTTTTAAATGGAAAACCTATATCTAGAAATTAACAGCATAAGGAATAGGAGATGGAAGAGAAAATGATGATATTAAATTCTACTTAGGAATTGTTGCCTAGCAAAGGCCCCGAAAGAGAAGCAAGCTCTGTTGAAATAAGAGATTAGAGACTGGGGTGTAGCTCAAGGGTAGAGTGCTTGTCCAGCTTGTGTGAGGCCCTGGGCTCTATCCCCAACACCACAAAAAGCAAACAAGAAAGGAAATTAGCAAAAGCTATAGAGATGTAAAAATAAATACCACAAAAATTATACTTCTTCCTTAGTACAAGCCAAAAGAACAAGAGAATTGGAAAGGACATGACTTTTTTTCATCTTGCAATCCATTGTTACTAAATGTAATTGTCTGTGTGCCACTCAAAACCATCTCTTGTGGAAGATGTACACATTGGAACATGCTGGCAAAGTGACCAGGCCCCTGGAGCGTGTGCTGGCTGCAATTGCACCCTTGGCCCTGTGACTCCTAGCTGCATGGTCCTTGACACTGTAAACTCTGTGTGCTTTCATTTCTTCATTTTAAAATGGAAGTCACAAATCTCTTCAGAGTGACACTCTTTTAAAAGACAGTGCCCAGATTTGAATATTATACCTAGGTATAAACTGACTGTTGAAAAGAGTATTATTTTTCAGCCTAGATATGGGATCTTTAGGGTTTGGGGTTGAATTAATTCAGTTCTTGGGCACTGACAAGGTTATGCTTGTAGCCAACTAAAATCTCCAAGCTTTTTGATACTTGCTGCCACTGAACCAAATACCCCATTGCAAATATGTGTTGTGTTGGGGGAGCCCAGGGAGGACTTGCATTTACTCTTATTAGCTAGATTCCTCCCTTCACATTACTCCAGGGTTTGAACATTTTCTCAGCTCCTTCTCCTACCCAGCATTTGAGGGAAAATAAGCCAAATGGGCAGAACTGGGCAACAGTGAAGATGTTTCTGAAAGGAAATGGGAATTTCTTGCTGAGTATCCACCATGTATCAGGTACTTTTAAAAAATATCTCTTTCAATATACCAAGAACCTCTTAAGATAGGTGTTTATCTTCATTTTTACAGAGAAGGAATGAACATTTAAACTTGAAGTTATAAAGCATGGTAATGATTCAATTTTCTACTTTTTTCTTACTATTATTTTGTAAACACTTTTATAATGTTGTTTCTTGTTCCCCTCCCCCCCCTTTTTTTGCTGAAGAAATAAATAAATGCTACCTCCTTATTCTAAAAAAGATCCGAGGCACTTCTGTCTTGATGTTTACAGTTTTAATGATTGTATAATATCCTATTAAGTCACGCTGCCATTTATTTAACCAATTTCTTACTGGTGACAGTTTGTTCTCGTTGCTTTTTGTGGCCTTTAATATTATTTTCAGTCATAAATGATCCTGCCACAGGCATTGGCACCTGTTACTTTGCTCTCCAAGGGTGGAATTACTGCATTAAAGGGGATGGAGATTAGCTTCGAGGGGAAATAACAAAGACTGGTTTTCTACCAAAGAAATTAATTTTCTACTTATTTAGAAAATATTTCAGTGTTGTGATGGGTGGCAGACCCTGTGCCAGGTGATGGAGACAGGGATGAGCTAGGCCAGTGCGGGTTTTCCAGGAGCACACTGTTGGGTAGAGTAGCGGGGAGGGGAACCACTCAAGGGGCGCAGCGGCCAGGCCAGGCATCCAGGGGTGCGCATCCATTTGCGCAGAAGCTGTTTGTGAGCAGCTGGCCCAGGCAACCCTGGACCTGTGTCTTGCAGAATAAGTATGAGTTCGGGCACGGGATTTAAGTGTACTATATTGTGATTGTCTGACCTTTTATCAGGAAAAAAAATGTATCCCACCCTTGGCATGTAGGACCTTGGTGGCGTTGCAAGCCCCCCAAATCTTAAGCTTTCTCCATCACAGGGGCTGTATCTGCTATCTGAGGGCCAGGAACCCCCCCGCGCGTCACTGAAGACACAGGAGAGGACTTGAGTACCAGGCCCTCGGTCCCTTGGGGACCAGACCCGACAGGTGGCCTAGGGGGAGGGAAGCGTCCCCACAGCTCCTGGCTCAGGAAAAGTCGGCTCAGTTCCATTTGGCCAAGGAGCTGGCAAGGGAGTCCGGGCTGTCGGTGGCAGGTGATACAGAGCAGCCGGCGAGTGGGCTCGGAGAGAGCAGGGATCGGCAGTCCCGGACCCCGAGGGGGCAGGCGGGCGGGAGCGGGAGAGGGGCGGAGCTCTGAGGCCCGGGCGCCGCGGCCGCCCAGAGGGTCTGCGGGGGCTCCTGTAGCCCGACCCGAGAGAGCGCGCCAAGAGTTCCAGGTAGTGGCGCGCCCCTCCAAGACTGCGACCTTGGCTTGGGGACCAGGACCTTCGCGCCACCCTGAGCTCAGTCCTGAGCTGATCCTCTGTGGAGACCCGCAGCCGAGAGACCAGAGCTGCCCCTGTGCGAGGGAACCCCAGCAGCGGCGCCAGGTAGGACCGGGGAATGCAAGGAGGGCTGAGTGACGGAAAGCACCCCCAGTAGGGAGGGACTCTGACGGAGTCTGGGGGCTACGGGGCTGAGAGACTAAACAAGGGGCGCACATCCAAGCATCTTGGACCTGGGGGCATTGGGTGCTGGGTGTAGGGGGAAACCAGGGTCAGGTTACAGGAGCAAGGTTTCCTGTGCGGGACTCTTTAGTGACCCCCCAGAAGGGCTGTGGAGTTGTCCGCGAATGAATGGGAGTGTGCACTAAGGCGCAGCTATTAGTTTTGTGTCGTGCCTCTGCCTTATTTCTGCAGAAATTAGGTCAGAAAAAAACTTTCCGTGTGTTAACGAGGGGATAAGTTGCTTTCTAGAGTTCATATGTGTGTAGAGAAGGGAGGGCCACAGCATCCGCACCCATCTGCCTGGGCCTCGAATTCTTTCACAGGAATCCTGGTCCAAGCCGCCAGATGCCTTGGAGACATTGCCTCAGTGGCACAAAGTTAGGGTGTCAGTTCCATATTCATTGGGGGGGGGTGAAGAAAGTACCAGATTGATGCAGTCTTTTATTATTACTCTGAGATTGTAGCTTTCAGTTGCAATATATGTACATTTTTTAAATCAAATAATGCAGGGTTCACCATCTAGGGACAATACCTGTACTAGCATTGATTGGCCTGTATGTATGCCTCCCTTCTTTACCCATATGCTGTCCTGCTCTGCTCCTTCTGTCCCTTCCTTCTGATTCTTTATTCACATCCTGCCTAACGAAGGAAATATGTCACTGCCACTGCCCACATTCTTCAATCCCCAGTGTTCCTCCTTAGAACACCTCTGCACTCTCCAGCCTCTTTCAGAGTGGTGGTCTTCAGGGTAGGGAGCCCACTAATGAGAAGACAGCTCATTTAGTTGCCTTCATTCTTCCAGCAATTTGAAGAAAGGCACGTTGAGGAGAATTCTATGACAAGTTCGGCACCCACCTGTTCTTTCCCTTACACTGGACTTTCCAAGTGCACTTGAAGCAGATTTCAGTACTGAGAAGAATTAATGAGGAATCATTCCTGAAATGCTCCAGAATTTAACCCCACACAGGTTCCTATTCCTCAAAGCAGCACTTTGCCACTAATATACCTTCCCATTGCCTTTCCCCTCTCCACCCCAGAGTGGTGCGCCTTGGATTTTCCCTATGTAGGACCCTGGGAGGATGAATGTTTTATAGTAGCCTCTGAAGGCCACCCAGGGAAGGAGCTGAGAGACATAGCTTTGTGATAGAGAAGGGGGAGGGGAAGATGCAGGAGTTGGAGGGGAACTGAGAAGTAGTCAAGGAGGAGCAGACCAAGACCCCCAGTGGAGAAGAATACTGGAGGAGGGCCCTGTTATTTAGGAACAGCCCCTGCATAACTTTGCTAAAAGACCACACATGTAGTTTACTTCTTGCCATCAATCACCACAATAAACTCTTCTCCAAGACTTTTTCTATGCTAGGCCAAAACATCTTAAAGTGTAAAAAAAAAAAAAAAAAAATCAACAAATCCACTCCTTTTGTCTATATGATAAAACAAAGTGGTTGAAATTGTTTTTACTAAGTTGACAGGTTCTTTCAGAGCTGTGTAGACTGTTTAAAATAGCCTCAATGCTGCACTGTCATATTTCCCTTAATTTTGTTCCCTTTTTTCCATTGGCACCACCTTGAACTGGAGGTCATGAACGTCAGAAAGTTCAGGCTGGTTAGAAACTGTCCTTTTCAAGAAGACTTTGTAAATGGGGAGGAAAGGATTAGAAAATCAAGACTGGTCCTTGTGATGGGATAGAGGAATAATGAAGAGGAATGGGGTGAGTGCAGGTCCAAGACTGACAAGGATTTGGGTATAATTCTTAAGTGAACCGGACAGTGGCTGGACAAGAAGTGAAACATCATCATTCCTCCAAAATGTGTATAGAGTGTCTTGCCATGTGCCAGTTACGAGGAACAAAAGTGAGTAAAACCAGGCCAGGTGCCTGCCCTCCTAGATGCTTTAGAGAGGCAGCTATTAGTTAACTCACTTAAGTATTAACTAAGTATTAACTAAGATAAAGTCTGCAAAGGAAAGAAACGAAGTTCTTTGAGGGTATATATAAATCCAACTTGAGATCAGGGAAGGATTTCTCAAGTAGGTCTTCCGTGGGCCAAGGTTCAAGGGTAGTTGAGAATGACCAAGATATATTTGGTTTTGAGGTTAGGTAAGATCAGGTAGACATTGCATTTGGCTGCTAGTCATCAAGAAGACTGGCTGCCATGTAGCATTTACCACACTACATGTGCAGAGTTGGCATTTCTGGCACAATAGGAAAGAATGCTTTGTTATCACAGCCCACAAGTGTTGTAAGACAGTGGTCGTGGCTCTTCATTGCTGTGTTCTTCTTGTAAATTAAATGTTTAGATTAACTTAATTCTTATAATTTTGTTTTATTATGTACAATAAAATACACACATTGAAGGTTGAGTGCTAATCATCCAGACCGCCACTGACAATGTGAATATGTAGATACCCCTAATGCCAAACTTGACTTACTCAGTGACAGACCAGTGTTATCACTGAATAGCTTCCCAGGTGATAAACAGTTGTGGCAGGTGGACTGTAACATCTTCCCTCTATCTCTATTCCCATTCTAATTAGGAGGATGACAATTTTTCCCCCAATGCTGGGGATAGAACCCAGGACCTTATACATGCAAAGTACACATTCTACCACTGAGCTACATTCTCAGCCCTTGTATATTCTTGACAGGGAGGGCGTCAAATTTTTAAAAAATATATATTTTTAGTTGCAGATGGACACAATACTTTATTTATTTTTATGTAGTTCTGAGGATCAAATTCAGTGCCTCATATGTGCAAGGTAAGCGCTCCACCACTGAGCCAGCCCTGTCAAAATTTTTAGTTACCCTGAATCTACAGTACTTCTTCAAAGCCTCATAGACAGTTCTTTAATAAGGACAAAGATACATATTACCAACTGCATTAATGCTGTAAGTGAAGATATAAATCTCATCATGTAGTGCCTGGGATGTTCTAACCAAGCAATGTGTTTCATGTTCAAACAAATATTTTCATTCATTCAACAATATTTGTGGTAAAACTCTGTGCCCAGAACTGTGTTAGATACGGTGGATAAAATGGATCAGGGAGATACAGTCCCAGCATTTAAGGAGTTCTTCAAAATCTAAGAGAGGAGTTGTACTCATTCATGTAAGGCTAGTAAGTACTGTGTGTGCTTTAATGGAAGCATCATAGGGAGAAGAATGGTCAATTCTACCAACCAAAGAAGGAGGTCAGGAAATGGTTCAAAGAGGTGTTAACACTTGAATTGACTATTGGAGGATGAGACATTCCAGCAGGTAGATAAAGGGAAGAGGGCATTAGGGGAGAGAGGTTTGTGTACAAAAACAAACCAACCCCAGAGGCATGAAACAGCCCATCAAGTTCTAAGACTTGCAAGTGGTTCAAGAAGTAAAGCGGGACTCATGGAGCCATGAGACTAGAAAGGTGGACAGGCTAGCAAGATGGTTACAGTGTACACTGTAGTCATAGAGACCCAGGTTTTAAGTTCTGCCACTTTCTAGCTAAGAGACCTCAGTCAAGCAGTGTAGCTTCTGTTAGTAATTGTCACAAAGGTGTAAATTCCCCTCATAGGATCACTGCAAAGATTGACTGAGGACACACAGTACCCAACACAGACTGCACCCAGTGATGGTTGACTGTTATTTCCATTATTGATCCTAGGACAAAGTAGCTGCTGGTGGGTTTTCCATACAGGAGTGACTTAGCATTTAACAGAGGGCAATCATCTGCCTGCAGGAGGAAGGGGGTACATCTAAAGCAGAGTGACCACATAAATGTATAACCAGCTAGACTGTGGTGATGGTGGCCTGAACCAGGATGGCGTTGGCAGTGGCCATGAGAAAAAATGCTCAATGTTTCTTCAGCATAAACTGGACCATGGAACTCAGCTGCTCACTGCATGTGGTCTGTGAGGAGAAGGAGGAGGCCTGGGATTCTGGTCTGTCCTCCTTCAGCTCTGTTATCCAAATAATCTTGGGATTAAAGAAAAAAAGGAAGCTAGATATCAACCTGGACTTCTTGATTAGTACCCAAAAAACTGTCTTTCTGATTCAGAAGATCCTTTGACAACTTCTGTGTTAGAATATAACATAGGATCCAGATCCGAGTGAATGAATATTAGACTTCACCTCTTTGTCACTTCCGTGAAGGGTCATGTATAACCCTCACTCACGCCCAGTGCAACTCTCTCCTCACATTAGCCTCACTTACTTTTTTCTCCTTTTCTTTCTCAAGCGTCCTTGCACAGTCCAGTAAGCACCGGCTGAGATGCTTCCGTGAACTTATTGAAATCATTGGGAATTAGAGGGCTTAGGTGGTCCCTATGTCATAATGTAGTGCGCGCTTGATAACCACACTATCTACTCAGAAGGCAGAAATCAATCCAGATCTGTGATGGCATTTTTGAAAAGTTGCTGGGAGATTTATACCTGCTTCCACCAAAGGTAGACCCTGGAAAGTGCTGATGATATGTGTTTTGGGATTCAGTTCCTTGAACAACTTGAAGTTACAGAAATGAGCAGACATTTTAAGCAGGCAAAACCAAATGAGTGAGGTGGATAAAAGCAAAATGAAAAAAATGAAGATCAGCCTCTGCTATGGACAGTCTGGTTTGGTTAAAAGTGTGCTTTATGTCTCTGTGACCTTGAGTAAGACATTAACTTATCTGAGCCTTAACTTGTACCGGTAGACAGCTCTTTGATACTGTAAAACTATGGTGATGTCTCCTTCAAAGTTTGGTTGTGGGAATTAAATGAGCAATACGTGGAAAATGCTTAACACAAGGCCTGGAGCGTGGCTAAGTGCTTAACTGGTCCCCAAGGTCTTTCCGTACACTGAAAAAGCAGGAAGAGTAAAGATTTCTTAGGCTAAGTAACCTGAATTAATTTGCTTTTATGTATTTCTCAA